GAGAGCAGAGCCAATTCATAAAAGAACAATGTATATTTAAAAGCGCACGTCCAGTTTTGTGTGAGTGAAGGAAATCCGTTTGTGAGTGGAGAGATTCGTTGATCGCGTAACGTTATGCACTCTCAACATTTGTCAATACGATCATAGCCTAAAATAAAGTATAAAGAACTACACATGCGAGGATCCGCCACTGCCAGATGCAGTTAGACTTTTACTAAAAACAAGACTATCACAAGATAGCTGGTGGAGGGGGGGAGGGGGACAACCAGACTTCAAGGGGGGTCGGTGCCACACCTGCCCACGACGTAGACACGCCCCTGATGCTCTGAGAGTGTTTATAGTGCTGTGAGTTTAACACTTCATGACTGAGAGCAGAACACAACACAATCTTCATCATCACACAAGACGCAACAACTACAATGAACAACATCCTCATCCTCATCTGGACTCTCACACTGTTTACTCAAGGTTTGTGCAGTAAAATTTTAACAAAGATTATTCATAATTTGAAGTATAAAATATTAAACATTTACAGTTTTTCATTCATTTTCTTTTTTCAGAGTGTAGAGGACAGTACACTGTAACTCAGAGTCCATCATTAATAACAGCAACACAAGGACAAGAAGTCAGAATAAACTGTAAAACCAGCAGTAGTGTATGTGGTGGTGATTACTTCCACTGGTATTTACAGAAACCTGGAGAAGCTCCTAAACTTCTCATATATCAGACATCAAACCGTTACACTGGAACTCCATCTAGATTCAGTGGCAGTGGATCTGGCACTGATTTCACTCTCACCATCAGTGGAGTCCAGACTGAAGATACAGGAGATTATTACTGTCAGAGTTACCACAGCATCAACAGTAAAGCTGTGTTCACACAGTGATAAAGAGTCGTACAAAAACCTCGGTCAGTCAGAGTCACAGTGACTGCACTGATACAGCTGAGAGACACTGCAGCTGCCGATGAGAGGATGACAAACAACACAATGACTTCAAGCAACACATTTTCCAGAGATTATGGCTTACGGTCATTAAAATGAACTGTATTTATTTATTTACCTACATGAACATTTGAATATCAGATCCATCTGCTCTAGACTGATCTGCATGAGGACTAAATGTCTGGAACAATGTGCTCTGGACAGAAAAGTCAAAGGTTGAGCAGTTTGCTGAAACATAAATGGAAATTTCAACATGATAATGACATTAATCATGCAAGAGGAATGATTGAGAAGAATGCAATGGAGGGCTTTAATGACCGAGTCAGAGTCCAGATCTCAGTCCAATTGAAATGTTGTTGAGTGACTTGAAGAACTTGAATCTTGAGTTAAATCAAAATGTCCACCCCAGAATTGACCCAAAACAGTTAAAGAATGAAAAAAGAATGAGAACTAGACGTTTGTGTGCGTGTGTGTGCGTGCGTGCGTGTGTGCGTGCGTGCGTGTGTGTGTGTGTGTGTGTGTGTGTGTGTTTAATCACAGTGGTAACACTTTATAACAACTTTCATTAATAAATAATTAACAAACATTATATAATGTTTAGCTAATCATTACTTAATATATATTCACATATAGAAATATGAGTCAATGTGCTTGATAATGTTAATTAATTAACTTATTAAACTTTATTATATAATGATTAACAGATCATTATTTAATGCAAATTGAAATGCTTACAAATGTCATCAAACTTTTAATGTGTTTTAAAAATCTACAAATGATTTTAACTGAAATAATTTTTCAGATAGCAAGATTATTTGTTAATGTACTTTTGAATGCTTGCAAATGTAATTAAACTTCAGTTCACATATTAGCTAATGCTCATTTTTACATTTACAAATGTTGTGAAAATATAGCTTAATTAAACATTAAGCACTTCACAAATTATTCATGTTAATATATTCATTAACTCATAATCTCAGTCTGTAAAGGTCATATATTTGGTCTCGGTTTGTTGTGCAGACTTCCTATTTGCACATCTTAAATCATTTATTAATTATTTGTTAATGTTTTTGCAGTACCCAATCTAAAGTGGAAACTATTCATCAATTGTAAATTATTATAAACATTTACTAATAATTAGTACCTTTATGAGCAGTCATTTTGATGGCAAAAAGTGTCTTAAATGACCAGAATTCACCTTTTCACATCTTTACAAATCATTTATTAATCATTTGTTCAAAATGGTTGCAGTACCCAATCTAAAGTGGAAACTATTCATCAATTGTAAATTATTATAAACATTTACTAATAATTAGTACCTTTATGAGCAGTCATTTTGATGGCAAAAAGTGTCTTAAATGACCAGAATTCACCTTTTCACATCTTTACAAATCATTTATTAATCATTTGTTCAAAATGGTTGCAGTACCCAATCTAAAGTTGAGACTATTCATCATTTTTTTATATCTTTATTGGCACTGGACTTTATCTACTGTAATAACATTTGTGTAAAGGGTGGTTAGCTTAATGCTTGGTAAAGACATAACACACATTGTAATTTGGGTGCAAAACATGTTTTTATCACCTCAACACTTACATTAGAATACTATTGTGAATCATTAAACAGAATATTCCTTGAATCATACATCAACAGGAGGGGGGAAAATCCTTTTTCCTTTATCAAAACAATGCAATATAAACAGATTGAATCGTGTTGCCTTATAGTAATCAAATTGAACCCTGGACACTGCTGACCCTTTACCAACCCTTAAACCTGAGCCGAACTCTATCCGTATCACACCTCAATAACAGAAAAGTGTTGTGCATTAACAAAAGCTTTTAATCATTGTATAACATCTGTGCAAATTGTTTGTAGTTTTTCAAGATTTGCATGATTATATGAATTAGAAGTTTAATCACATTTATAAACATTTTAATTTACAAAAAAAAATTAATTATTAGGTAAAGTTTAAAGGGGTCCTATTATGCTTTTTCACTTTTTCAACTTTAGTTAGTCTGTAATGTTGCTGTAATGTTGCTGTTTGAGCATAAAAACGATCTGCAAAGTTACAAATCTCAAAGTCCATTTCAAAAGGAGATTTTTTTAATCTAACAGAAAACACTTTTCAAAAACTACAATGAACGACTCGTTTGGACTACAACGCAGACTTGTGATATCACAAATACCGACGAATGGGGCGAGACCTGGTAGAGCTGCACTAGAGAAGGCAACGAGTGTTATCACTATGTCGGAGACACGCTAGCTTTCCCAAGGCAGACGAACTTAGAGTGGTTACAATCATAAATCACGCTCAAATTGATTTGATTTTGAGGCAATATTTACACTGAAGCTCGCAGGTGGCTATGGTAAGGGGCGTGACATCTCCCGACCAGGTGCCGAGTGCTGCCAATCACAACACACACTGGCCCAGCTAACCAATCACAGCACACA